ATTTGAACAAAATTTTGAACAAATATGTCGCTTTGGTAAAATGAATATCAGTTTAATAATATGATCTGTTCTGATCGTTTATTTAAAATTTTTCTTAATTATAATCTCTTTCTTGGTCGGAATTCAAATATTTTTTGTGAAAATTGACAGAAATATTGTATTTTGACAATTATATATAGTTAATGTACGTCAGAACCGATTAGAACTAGGATCTTTAGTAAATTAAGGCACTTTTTTAAAAGATTTTAACAAAATTCATGTTTACGCCGATGAGCGAAAGTAATGCAAAGACTCTAAAATTTTAGATTCACTATTAGGGGGTAGGAAAAATAGTTTTAAAAAGTGCATATAAAAAAGAAAACTTTCTTTAAATGTTAAAAAAACTGAAGCAAAAAAAATTGTACCAACTAAAGCTCTCATTTGAACATAATACGCTAATAAAACCATGCTAATTCCCCCCAAAAAAGAATTCGAATAACTTTTAAATTGCCTTAATTACGGTGTTACCTCTAATCTTCAATGTTATTGTTGAAATCTATTTATTTATTTTATTTTATTTGCGGTATAACATTATTTACAATAAGTATTATGATATTATACGGGCAGGATTTCAAGAAAATTGTAATGACCTTAACACAAAGCCCTTACCAAAACTCTACTTTCTTCTACGATAAAAAATTTATATACCTTTTTTATTTCAGTTATAAAAACTGTTATCAACATGTATCCTGTTTAAAAATTAAAACTTAAAAGCGAAATTATAATTTTCCGAAAATAACAAAAAGTATAAAAAGTATTAAAATTAGTAAAGTGTACGTCAATGCTGCTATAAAAAAAGTGGTTGTTTAGTTTTTTTAAGCAAAAAAAATGTTAGTTATGCCGCATTTCTAATGTCTGAAGATAACTCGTTAAACAAACCAGAAAAAAAGAGTGTTATTCTCCAGTCGAATGCAAACTATAGAGAGGTTACACACACACACACACACACCACACACACACACACACACACACACACACACACACACACACACACACACACACACACACACACACACACACACACACACACACACACACACACACATATATATATATATATATATATATATATATATATATATATATATATATATATATATATATATATATATATATATATATATATATATATATATATATATATATATATACTCCACGGGAAGAAAACGGCAGGGTCACATTTTGAAAATTTTGACATTTTACACTTTTTAACTTTATAAACAGTTTTATTATACATTTTATCTGAATTCAAATAAAAAAAAAAAAATTGGATGTACTTTTATAGTTTGATGGAACTTAATTAATTTTTTTAATTATACATTGCACACCTCCCCGAAAAGACATAAAAAAAAATTTCCCATGAAAAAAAAAGGTTTGACTTTATTAAAGTTACATTTCTAGAACGTGGTCATTCTTTTATGGAATGTGATAAAAATATGGGATTAATTAATTGCAAAACACCCACTAGTGATCCATCAGAGTGGATTAAAACATTCAAAAATCCTCGTAAAAAACTCCGTTTTATGTTGTAGAATTAACGCAAGGTATGGTTTTATAAGAATAAATGTCCAATTCCAACTCGTCCTCTTTGTGAAATTTGTTTCAGAGGAGACTGAAGTGGCATTGTATTTCATCATGATTTGTGGAAAGGATTATTGTTGAAAACTAATTTAAAAAGTAATAGGAAGAATACTATAAATAGTGAGATCCCCATTCTGTATAATGCAAAACTTTGCATCTCTGTGGCAAAGTACAGAGATTTACAAGTATTAAAAAGGTTTACATCCAATCCTCAGTTTTACAATTCTTTGCCATACAATCAGGAGGTTATCAAGACATTTCATAAAAATATTGATTCTGAAGATGAAGAACAACTAGACTTCTTTTTTTATTTAAATTTTGTTTTTAATTGTTTTTTTCTTAGTGTTTCTTGACAAATTTAAAATCTTTAATATGTTTCTTCTTTGCTTCACTTAATATACAACAGTTTATAAAATTAATAATCACAAGATATTGAATATATTTTTTGACTATTAGTCAGGGTATGAAAATAAAAATTCAGATCAAATAAATACTAAATTGTTTGAAAACCTATAAAATTTTAAAGCCCCTTTATTATCAGGAAAGAAACTTTGCATTAAATAACTTTTTGTGCTTACAGTTTTGTGACACCTGTTTAGGTATAGTTATACAGGTATTTAATAGGTTAACCTTTAAATAAAAAATAAATTGAACTTTGTCATCAACAGTAATATTTTTGAATAAAAGATTTATAATAAAAATTAAAGCCTTTCGTTAACGAGGACTAGAACTACTACTATAATTATTTAGACAACTCTCGATATCTCGAACCTCCGATTAATTATTTATATAGGGACCGATTAATTAGTTCGAGATAGAGAATGTTTGAGTTATCGAGAGTATAATCCATAAATAAGGGTTCAACTGGATTCAAAAAAGTTCGAGATATCAAGTATTTAAGATATCGAGAGTTGGCTGTATGTGATATTTTCGTGCACGAAAAAAGAACAAAAATTGAAGCCTTTTGTTAACGAGAACTATAATTATTTTCTAAACGAAAATATCAACACCAAACAGTATTTTTAATTTTAGTTCAATCCCCTAGACTTTTTAAGGGTCAATATTAGGTCTTGGTGGTGAGGTTGTTTTGTAAAAATTAGCTTCTGTCTAATTTTATTTGTAAGCTAATAAAAAATAATTGATATTTTAGGTTTTTACTTGATCTAAAAACTAATAAAATAAAAAAAGACATTTTACCGGGGAAAAAAAGGCAGAGTCTATAAAAAACCTCACTTAAAAAAGAAAGTCTATAACGTAAATTATTATATTTAAATTCGAAATTCAACTTTAATTGCATAAAAAGTTAGTTTTTTTTTGTAATATATCTTAAAAATTTTAATCCTTTCCCTAAAATAAAAATGTTATATAGGTTTAAAAGTTTAAAAATGAGTTATCGCAAAATGAAAAAATGTGATATATATATATATATATATATATATATATATATATATATATATATATATATATATATATATATATATATATATATATATATATATATATATATATATATATATATATATATATATATATATATATATATATATATATATATATATATATATATATATATATATATATATATATATATATATATAATTCTATTATGATGGATTTTTTGTTGGTTTAATATGTAAATGATACAACGGGGCTGGATAATAAGACTTTTGTCTTCTTCCTGCTCCTGCCATATCTTGACTCAAAAAGAGTATATCGTAAATAATTTATTATAAATATGACAAAAATGTGAACAAAAAAAAAAAAAAAAAAATTTGGGGTATGTTTTTTCTTTTTTGTATCAAATAAGAAAGTTTTGCAAAAAATTACAGTAATTGAGTCTGGAAAACAACAAAAATACAAACACACACAAACAATTGTGCCCTCACCTACTTGCAATATTAGCGCAATAATTGACCGAGCTTTGTATTATTACTATTTCAGACTACATTTATATTCATCAAAATATTTCATTTATATTCATTGAAATATTTTAAATAATGTTTTCGTGTACAAAAGTTATAACAATGTAAAATTTTAAACTCCCTCATTTTAAAGGGTTTAAAAACTTACATGGTCATGACTTTAATTACATTGAATTTTAAAATTTTGTTTTGAAAAAAAAAACTTCAATTGAATCTATATATAATAACCTGAGAATAGTGTTTTTCAAAAAATACTAAAATATTTTATGATTGACATTCAATACCATAATCTCAAAACTAAGCTATACGTTTATGAAAAACCTGCGAGCTATGTTTTCATCATTTGTTTTACCAAAGACAGGTTTTGGTTTGCCTAATAAAGTCTTTATGGTTTCTACTTTAACTTATATGTATTTTAGTCGTCAAAGAAACACAGACAATACATTCAGAAACTCATTAGAATCGGAGCTTTTAAAGTTCCTTAAAAAGTATTGGGTTTTTAAAAGTTAAAAGTTTTTTGTAAAGGGTTTAATCAACTAAGCGTTCATTAATTTTATTAAATATGCATTGCAAATTAATTTCGCCACGTGTTACGTAATTAATTATGTTTATCTAAAAGTCAACGTTTTTTTAACTTGTATAGACTATGATATAATGAAAAAACTATGATAAGATCTCCTGCCTATAATGGCTTTTGCGTTTGTTTATAAGAATGAAAAGTACATTTAGAGTCAATGTAATTAGATAAAAAAAATTTTTTGGTTTTATTTTTTTCATGATTTAATGTTGCTTTGTTTCTTTGACCACAAAGAGACAACAATAAAAAGGTTGAGCACTAAATTGACTACTTCAGCAGTCTTAATCAACTCAGTGGTACTTTGCGATTATACAAGTATTAAACTTTTTACATTTTAAGTATGTCTTTAATGTTCTTTTTGGGCCGTCACCAACTCTCTCCCGATAACAAAAGAAAACAAAGAATTGATATACTTATTTTAAGTTCTTACCTGCTCTCTCTAACCAAATTTTATTTTTATTTAAGAAACAGTCGATTAGCATATGTGATGCAGATCATTTTATGGGAGAATTTTAATGAACTACATATTTTTATCTGCAAAATCCGCTTTATGCAAATAAAATCCAGCAGAAGTGGATTTCCATTGCAAATTAAACCGGAATATTTGCAGGAAAGCGCAATTTTATAAAATACTTAAATCTCAAATTTTTCTTTCAGTTTGATTCTCGAGATTTATGCTGAATCAGGATAAAAAATATTATTAATATTATTAATTACAATTTTACAATTACAATTTACAATTACAAATATTATTAATTAGTTTTGTTTTTGGAAAAAACATGTCGTGTTTTTAAAAGTTGTTATTTTAAAACATTTATTTAAAAAAATTTAGGTATTGAATTGATTTTAGTTTACAAATAAATTTAGTAAAAGATGAAACGTAATAAAATTGATAATGTAGATAAATTTAAAGATGTTCATAATAGCGCATAATAATAATGGCACAGCTTGTGTCTTTTGCATCAAACCATTTATAACGGTCAATTCCAGCAGTTAACACTACTTCTTTTTTGATAAAACTATGAATAATCCATTGCAGTCTGATGTATCGCTTTCTTTGTTGTTTAACTTTTGCGAGTTATAAAATAAAACTTCGTGCCCATTTCTAATTAATGCTTGCTTTATATCATTTATTTCAAGTTTAAGACAACCCCATTTTACATCTGCAACTCTGTAAAAAGTTTCACCTAAACAAATAAGATATGTTTTTTAAGTTTGAAATTCTTTTAATTTAATGAACTTCAAAAAATAAGAAAACTTGTTACAGAACTATTATACTCTAAACAAGCAATAGTCTAAGTGGAGTCTTATATAAAAAAATTCTTACCTAAAACGCCCATCATAATCATACAGCCATTTACTTTTAGCAAGTTGCTTAAATTTTCAATTGCTTTATTGTATGAGTCAAAATCAGGGCAAGCCGCTTCAAGACACAGTGACGTAAGTATGCAATCGAATTGATTAAACCAATTGGGCTCCAGTGGGTTAGTCAAATTAACATCTATTTGTATGCAACCTTTTACTGATTCTTTAGTTCTTTTAGAAATTTCTTCAACACTTGAAGACTCCTTCTTACTAATATACTCAAGAAAACTAGTCCAATCATGCGCGCTTTGATCGTTTTTTAACCATTTAGTCAGTTCCTCTCTGTTTGATCTCAAATAATCACTTAAATAAATATTACTGAATCTTTTGCTTGATATTATTGCCGTATGCATACATGGTCCAGAGCCAACGTCTAACAATGAAGAACCATTTATTTCGTTATGATTAATAACATCTAATAATTGATCTATAAAATAGTTGTCGTAGTTTTCATCTTGATGTCCATTTATTGTTTGATAATATCGTTGCAAATAATCTTTTGAATCAAACGTTTCACTATTATATTCGGTATTCATATTAAATCACAAACTACTTGATTTTCAACATTCTTGTGAAGTTTGTTTTGTTTTGCAATTTAAATTTAACCTTATTAGATCTCAGGTTTCCTTTGTTTTTTCCTGACATTTTATTGTTTGTATTTGACATTTATTTATGCGCTATTTTCATTTAATAAAACACTGTGTTTGTTTTTATTTTGTTGAAAAAGCGTTAGCACGACCAAAAGCAACACAAATAATTTCTTAAAAATAAAAGCAACATAAATAACCAACCTATATACCTACCTAATACCAACTTTTCTGATTAATAAACAAACTTAGTTTACATAAGTTTTAGTTTTTTTCAGTACTTATATAACTAAAAACTTATGTAACTTATCAAAGATGATACAAAATAAAATAGTAACACTCGAAAATAAGTTTGTAGCAAACACAAAAACAATCTGAAAATCAAAGGCTGGCAAGACAGGGGTTAGCGAGCCTTTTATTATTACATCTTTTTCATACTACTATAAAGTAATTTCTTATAAATAATAAATAAAAGTTTTTTTAAATTGTGTTACAAAAAAATCTTTAAATGACGCAACTAAATGTATTAGACCCTGAAATCATACGTCAGAATATGGAAGGAAAAGTCCGAAAACAAAATAGTTGAAACTGCACTACATTGTTCAGTCGGATAAAATCGCGTTTTTTGTGCCAAAATTATTTTTAATTTTTTTTATTAGAACTGTTATAAACTAATTATACAAACCATATAAAATGAATATCAAAGTTTGACAAAGTTTATTTTTTAGTTTAATTACCATTAAAAATTACGAACTAGATCTATATTCTAGAACGTAGAATTCTCGCAAATAAAAAGTTCAACAACACCCGGAGAAAATTTCTTTTTTACAGAAGAAACAGTTTTTCTATAAGATGAAATAACTGGATCAGATTTACATAAAAGTCTTTTCAATAAATCTTCGTTTGTCTTTGTTCTTGAATTTTTACGGGAATGATGTTCCCTATATTTTCTAAGTTCTTTATTTCTTGCTTCTTGAGCTTCTTCACTAAATAGACCTATTGGTAAGAATAGATTTTCTATTACTTCTGCTCCATGAATTAAGATCTTGTGAAGACTCTGAGGCATGTAATACCAATGGTACAAGCATGAGTAGAGTTTTGCGGTCTCCAGACAAAGTAAGCGAAACTTACTAGTATCTATTTGAAATCCACTTGATATACAAATTAGGATTATATGCAACTTTACAATTAGTTCCTTGTTTATTCCTGTAATATCAGCAAACAAGTCTTCATTTGAAAAAGCTTTTTGAAATGTCAACAATAAGTCCCATTTTGTGTTGAAATTCTTTTTGTATCTTCATTTTTTGCTCTTTAACAAGAGATTTCTCTACGTCTCCTCTTGCTTGCCATTTTTTTATTGGTATCTTATATGAAATATGTATGAGACACTCAAAAAATCTTATCCATGCATGAAGTGTAGATAACCCATATTGAAGCTCATCCGGTGAGTATGGAAGTTTCGTAACTTTGTCAATATTGTTCATGTCTTTTGGTGAACACCCGCATATACAGCAACATTGACTAGAGCTTGTTAAATTTGATAGAGCAGTATGGACTTTACCATCTATCATTGTAACTTGAATGATATGTTTGACTTAAATAGACTTGCCATTAGATAACTGAAAAAAAGTTTCTACAAGATTTAAGATCTCGTCTTTCAAAGTAGCTTCTTCAATAAGTATTAAATCAGTTGTTTCTTTTTCAAATTTAAATCTTAAAGGTCGGCAATATAAAGTGGAAGAAGGTTTTGGATTTCTCCAAATGACAGTTAGGGTTTCTCTAACATAAGTTGAAATCTGAAGTGGAACCAGGCAAGTTAGAAACAATGATTCTTCTCTTTTCAAGTCGCGAAAACTTTCAACAGACATTTTTTGTTTATATATGCTTTGACCAGTAGACCCATCAAAACCTGCTTTATAATTTGAATGAAGCATTGTCGTTGATGCTAGATTCAAATATGACCAAAGCTGCGTTTCAACTCCATAGAAATGCAGCAATTGAAAAAGAATGCAACCTGTATCCTGCATATAACAATATAAAATCATCAAAACTTTTGTGCTACCCTAATAACATTATTTTTACTGACTATACTGCAAGTATACCACTGCAAAGTTTATGTGACCATACAGCTCAAAGACTTTGTCAAGTTCAAAATGAGGTTTTATGCATGCTATAAACGTTTGACCTGGTATCTCTTCATTATAAAGCAGGTTTTGATGGGTCTACTGGTCAAAGCATATATAAACAAAAAATGTCTGTTGAAAGTTTTCGCGACTTGAAAAGAGAAGAATCATTGTTTCTAACTTGCCTGGTTCCACTTCAGATTTCAACTTATGTTAGAGAAACCCTAACTGTCATTTGGAGAAATCCAAAACCTTCTTCCACTTTATATTGCCGACCTTTAAGATTTAAATTTGAAAAAGAAACAACTGATTTAATACTTATTGAAGAAGCTACTTTGAAAGACGAGATCTTAAATCTTGTAGAAACTTTTTTTCAGTTATCTAATGGCAAGTCTATTTAAGTCAAACATATCATTCAAGTTACAATGATAGATGGTAAAGTCCATACTGCTCTATCAAATTTAACAAGCTCTAGTCAATGTTGCTGTATATGCGGGTGTTCACCAAAAGACATGAACAATATTGACAAAGTTACGAAACTTCCATACTCACCGGATGAGCTTCAATATGGGTTATCTACACTTCATGCATGGATAAGATTTTTTGAGTGTCTCATACATATTTCATATAAGATACCAATAAAAAAATGGCAAGCAAGAGGAGACGTAGAGAAATCTCTTGTTAAAGAGCAAAAAATGAAGATACAAAAAGAATTTCAACACAAAATGGGACTTATTGTTGACATTTCAAAAAGCTTTTTCAAATGAAGACTTGTTTGCTGATATTACAGGAATAAACAAGGAACTAATTGTAAAGTTGCATATAATCCTAATTTGTATATCAAGTGGATTTCAAATAGATACTAGTAAGTTTCGCTTACTTTGTCTGGAGACCGCAAAACTCTACTCATGCTTGTACCATTGGTATTACATGCCTCAGAGTCTTCACAAGATCTTAATTCATGGAGCAGAAGTAATAGAAAATCTATTCTTACCAATAGGTCTATTTAGTGAAGAAGCTCAAGAAGCAAGAAATAAAGAACTTAGAAAATATAGGGAACATCATTCCCGTAAAAATTCAAGAACAAAGACAAACGAAGATTTATTGAAAAGACTTTTATGTAAATCTGATCCAGTTATTTCATCTTATAGAAAAACTGTTTCTTCTGTAAAAAAGAAATTTTCTCCGGGTGTTGTTGAACTTTTTATTTGCGAGAATTCTACGTTCTAGAATATAGATCTAGTTCGTAATTTTTAATGGTAATTAAACTAAAAAATAAACTTTGTCAAACTTTGATATTCATTTTATATGGTTTGTATAATTAGTTTATAACAGTTCTAATAAAAAAAATTAAAAATAATTTTGGCACAAAAAACGCGATTTTATCCGACTGAACAATGTAGTGCAGTTTCAACTATTTTGTTTTCGGACTTTTCCTTCCATATTCTGACGTATGATTTCAGGGTCTAATACATTTAGTTGCGTCATTTAAAGATTTTTTTGTAACACAATTTAAAAAAACTTTTATTTATTATTTATAAGAAATTACTTTATAGTAGTATGAAAAAGATGTAATAATAAAAGGCTCGCTAACCCCTGTCTTGCCAGCCTTTGATTTTCAGATTGTTTTTGTGTTTGCTACAAACTTATTTTCGAGTGTTACTATTTTATTTTGTATCATCTTTGATAAGTTACATAAGTTTTTAGTTATATAAGTACTGAAAAAAACTAAAACTTATGTAAACTAAGTTTGTTTATTAATCAGAAAAGTTGGTATTAGGTAGGTATATAGGTTGGTTATTTATGTTGCTTTTATTTTTAAGAAATTATTTGTGTTGCTTTTGGTCGTGCTAACGCTTTTTCAACAAAATAAAAACAAACACAGTGTTTTATTAAATGAAAATAGCGCATAAATAAATGTCAAATACAAACAATAAAATGTCAGGAAAAAACAAAGGAAACCTGAGATCTAATAAGGTTAAATTTAAATTGCAAAACAAAACAAACTTCACAAGAATGTTGAAAATCAAGTAGTTTGTGATTTAATATGAATACCGAATATAATAGTGAAACGTTTGATTCAAAAGATTATTTGCAACGATATTATCAAACAATAAATGGACATCAAGATGAAAACTACGACAACTATTTTATAGATCAATTATTAGATGTTATTAATCATAACGAAATAAATGGTTCTTCATTGTTAGACGTTGGCTCTGGACCATGTATGCATACGGCAATAATATCAAGCAAAAGATTCAGTAATATTTATTTAAGTGATTATTTGAGATCAAACAGAGAGGAACTGACTAAATGGTTAAAAAACGATCAAAGCGCGCATGATTGGACTAGTTTTCTTGAGTATATTAGTAAGAAGGAGTCTTCAAGTGTTGAAGAAATTTCTAAAAGAACTAAAGAATCAGTAAAAGGTTGCATACAAATAGATGTTAATTTGACTAACCCACTGGAGCCCAATTGGTTTAATCAATTCGATTGCATACTTACGTCACTGTGTCTTGAAGCGGCTTGCCCTGATTTTGACTCATACAATAAAGCAATTGAAAATTTAAGCAACTTGCTAAAAGTAAATGGCTGTATGATTATGATGGGCGTTTTAGGTAAGAATTTTTTTATATAAGACTCCACATAGACTATTGCTTGTTTAGAGTATAATAGTTCTGTAACAAGTTTTCTTATTTTTTGAAGTTCATTAAATTAAAAGAATTTCAAACTTAAAAAACATATCTTATTTGTTTAGGTGAAACTTTTTACAGAGTTGCAGATGTAAAATGGGGTTGTCTTAAACTTGAAATAAATGATATAAAGCAAGCATTAATTAGAAATGGGCACGAAGTTTTATTTTATAACTCGCAAAAGTTAAACA